GTCAAGAAATTTGAAAGACAGCTGTCTGACCAGCTGACTGGAAGACATCCATATTTGTGCCCATTCCAAAGAAAGGTGATCCAGCAGAATGCGGAAATTATCTAACAATACAATGAATATCACACAGAAGTAAAATTTTGCTGACCATCATTCAAAACTGGTTGCAGCAGTGCGTCGACAGGGAACTGCCAGAAATTCAAGCCAGATTCAGAAGAGGACGTGGACTGAGAGATACCATTGCTGATGTCAGATGGATTTTGGCTGAAAGCAGAGAATACGAGAAAAATGTTTACCTGTGTTTTATTGGCTAGGCAAAGGCATTCAACTGTGTTGATCATAACAAATTGTCGATAACATTGCAAAGAATGGGAATTCCAGACACTTAATTGTGCTCACGTGGAGCTTGTATGTAGGCCAAGAGGCAGTTATTCCAACAGAACAAGGGAATACTGCATGGTTTAAAATCAGGAAATGTGTGCCTCAGGTTTGTATCCTTTCACCATACTTATTCAATTTTTATGCTGAGCAAATAATCCTAGAAGCTGGACCATATAAAGAAGAATGTGACATCAGGATTGGAGGAAGACTTATAGCAACCTACAATATGCAGATGACACAACCTTGCTTGCTGAAAGCTAAGAAGCACTTACTGATGAAGATTAAAAACTACAGCCTTCGGTGTGGATTACACCTGAACATAAGGAAAACAAAAATCCTCACAACTGGACCAATAAGCAACATCATGATAAACGGAGAAAAGATTGAAATTGTCAAGGATGTCATTTTACTTGGACTCACAATCATTGCCCATGGAAGCAGCCGTCAAGAAATCAAACGACGCATCGCATTGGTCAAATCTGCTGCAAAAGACCTCTTTAAAGTGTTAAAAAGCAAAGATGTCACTATGAGGACTAAGGTGCACCTGACTCAAGCCATGATACTTTCATATGTGTGCAAAAAATGGACAGTGGATAAGGAAGACTTGAAGAAGAATGGATGCCTTTGAATTATAGTATTGGCGAAGAATATTGAATATACCGTGGACTGCCAGAAGAATGAACAAATCTGTCTTGGAAGAAGTATAGCCAGAATGCTCCTTAGAAGCAAGGATGGCGAGACTACATCTCACATACTTTGGGCATGTTATCAGAGGGACCAGTCCCTGGAGAAGGACATCATGCTTGGTAAAGTAGAGGGTCAGCGAAAAAGAGGAAGACCCTCAAGGAGGTGGATTGACACAGTGGCTGCAACAATGGTCTCAAGCATAACAATGATTGTGAGGAGGGCGCACGAGCAGGCTGTGTTTTGTTCTGTTGTACATAGGGTCACTGTGAGTCGGAGCAGACTCAATGGCACCTAACAACGACAGCAGTCTGTTGTGTGTATACACCACATTTTGTTTCTCCATTCATCTGTTAATGGATATTTTGGTTGTTTCTGTCTTTCGGCTATTGTGAAAAGTGCCATAATGAACACTGATGTGCAGGTTTCTGTTTGCATTCCTGCCTTCATTTCTTCTGCATATATACCTAGGATTGGGACTGCTGGATCATATGGTGCTATTTGTTCAACATTTTGAGAAACGCCCAACTTTTCCACAGTGGCTGTACCTTAAATGTAAAGGTTGATGAATTTTTACAAATATATACACCCAGTTGGCCATCACCTCAGTCAAGATACAGAATAGTTCTACTGTCACCCCCCCAAGATTCCTTCACTCTTCTTTGAAGTCATTCTCTCCTTTACCTCTGGCTTCAGTTAACCACTGATCTGCTGCTGTTACTATTGTTTTTGCATTTTATAAATAATTTTATGTAAATAGAATTATATAGTATATACTATTTTGTGTCTGGATTATTTACTCAGTTTCTTTTACTGATGTTTGAGATTCATCCATGTTGTTTCATATATTAGTAGTTTGTTCCCTTTTCCTGCTAAGTAATATTGCACAGTTCGTTTATTCATTCGTCCGTTGATGGACATTTGTGTTGTTTCCAGGTTTTGGCTATTATGAATAAAGGTGTTATAAACATTTGTACACAAGTCTTTGTATAAACATATGTTTTCATTTCTCTTGGATAAATACCTAAGAGTAGGTATTTATTGTCTGGTAGGTGTATATTTAACTTTGTAAGCAACTGGCAGACCTTTTCTAAAGGGGTTGTACCATTTTTATATTCCCATCAACAAGTGAGAATTTCAATTACTCCACATTCTAGCCAACACTGGGTATTGTCAGTCTTTTTCATTTTAGCCGTTCTTATGGGTGTGTGGAGACCTGGTGGTGCAGTGGTTAAGCATTCAACTACTAACCAAAAAGATCAGCAGTTTGAATCCATCAGCTGCTCCTTGGAAACCCTATGGGGCAGTTCTGCTCCATCCTATAGAGTTGCTGTGCGTGGGAATCGACTCGGTGGCAATGGTTTGTTTATTTTTTTTTTAAATGGGTGTGTGGGGTAGTATCTCATTGTGGTTTATGTGCATTTTCTTGATAACTAGTGTTGAGCATGTTTTAATATGCTCATTGGTCATTCATAAATCTTTTAGGAGTGACTTTTCTAATCTTTTGCCTATTTTTTTAAAAATTAGGTTGTTTGTTTTCTTATGATTAAGTCGTAAGAGTTCTTTTTAGATTCTAGGTACAAGTTCCTTGTGAGACATATGTATTTTTGCAAACATTTTCTCCCAGTCTGTAGTTTGTTTTTTCATGCTCTTGAGTGTGTCTTTCAAGAGCAAAAGTTTTTATTTTCGATAGTTTAGATTATCAATTTTTCCTTTCATGGTCTGTACTTTTTGTCTCTTATCTTAGAAATCTTTACCTACTCCAGGATCACAATGATTTTCTCCTATGCTTTCTTTTTGAGGGTTTACAGTTTTAGCTCTTATATTTAAGTCTGTGATCCATTTCTGGTTAATTTTTGTGTATAGTATGTAGTAAAGGTTGATATTTCTTTATTTTTTTCCTTGTGGATATCCAGTTGTCCAAGCACCATTTGCTGTAAAACTTTTCTTTCCTTATTGAATTGTCCTGACGTCTTTGCCATGAATCAGTTAGCCATATTCCTTTGGGTATATTTCTGAAGTCCATTTTCTGTTCCATTGGTCTATATGTCTAATCTTTCGACCAATACTACACTGTCAGGCGAGTCCTCCAGTTTTGTTGTTGTTTTTTAAAAATTTGCTTTGCCTATTCTAGGTCATTTGCACTTCACATAAATTTTAGAATCAGCTTGTCAATTTCTACATAAACCCTGCTGGAATTTTGATTGGAGTCACATTGAATTTATAGATTTATTTGAGGAGAATAGACAACTGTTGATTCTTCCAATCCATCAACATGGTATATCATTCCATCTTTTTCAGTCTTTGAAAACTTCTTTCAGGAATGTTTTGTAGTTTTCATTAGAATGGAATTTTATTTTCTGTTTCAATTTCCAGTTGTTTGTTGCCCCCCTCCTTTTTTTTTTTTTTTTTTTTAAAGTGATCTCTTCCTTCCTGGCTGTAGCCAAACTTAAATATACCTTCTTGTCCTGGACACTGTTCATTCTCAGGGTTCAAGAGATCTCCATTGATGGTTTAGGCATGATTGTCAGTGATGCTACCCTACGTATTCCTTCCTATCAAAGAATTTACAGCTATTCATGGAATAATTCTCAGCTCATGAAACCATTTCCTTTCTGTTAGTTTCCTTCTTTCTCCCAGCTCCCACAATCCTACCTCCTCCATGAAGCTTTCCAGAGAGATGAGACAGGTTCTCTCAGATATCTTTCAACATTGATTCTTCCTTTACTTCCCACCACACTGATTACCATTATACAGTTGCTACTCAAAATGAAGGGATTTTATGTGATTTAATGCCTCTGTGCCTTAGCTCTTTCTTTGTCTTAAATGGTCTTTCTCATTTTTTTCCCTTGAGAATTACCAGAGGGCCCAGTTCAAGGTTCACCTTCTTGGTTGTTTTTGCAAAATATTCCAGGTAAAATGAATCACCTCCTTGCCTGTCTTTATGGCACTCCGCACTTCTGTTGGAGAAATCTATCACACTGTATGCAGCCTGAGGGCAGAAGCCACCTTACTCATCTGGGAATAGAGCTCAGAGTCCCAAAATCCATTTTAAATCTCCTCCAAGATTCTGATTCTCTCCATGGGTCTTTATTCATTTTAGGCATGTATAAGAAAAAATTTCAGTCTGTAGATTTGTAGATTATTGAAAAGACGAGGAAGCTTTTGGGACTCTGTGTTATTTAATTTTCTATTTTAGCAATTTTATCATTAGGAAATACTCTGAATAAATAAATATTTGGAGCCTTATCTAAATGTCTTCCTATGTGGAATTCCCCTCCCCTTTTTTTTTTATTACAATATAAAAATAACCTTTTAATATAAATACAGTATACCAGGGTTTCTGCACTTTGGCACTGTTGACATTTTGGGCTGGATAATTCTTTGTTGTGAGAGTCTGTCCTGTGCATTGTGGGTTGTTGAGCAGCATCCCTGTCCTCCACCCACTAGATGCCAGCAGCACTCCCCTCCTCAGTTGTGACAACAAAATATGTCTCCAGACATTGCCAAATGTCCCTTTGAGGGCAGGATCACCCCTAGTTGAGAACCACTGTAGAATACCTTAAGGAGTTTGGAAATTTTAATGTAAAAGTTGTGAAAATCATCCAGATTTCTCTTTATTTTGCTTTCTTTTTAATACTTTCCTTGTCTCTTAAGGCTGCTCAGCACTGAGACTGCTGGCCCTGTGAGTATATTGCATGACCTAGCTTTTGCTTGCTCCTGTCTCTGTACATCTGGGACCCATGGGTGGCCTTATTCATGCAGAGGACAAATTAGTGCCCCTGCTTATTATAAAGACTCAAGGACTTGAGGAATGCGAGAAATCAAACTGGTGCTCTGAAATGCACCACTTTCGATGCCCCAGAATCTTTTTTTTTTTTTTTTAATGTTTTATTGTGCTTTAGGTGAAAGTCTACAGAGCAAATTAGTTTCCCATTCGATAATTTGTACATAAAGTGTTCTTTGACATTGGTTGCATTCCCCTCAGTGTGTCAGCACTCTCCTCATTTCTGCCCTGGTTTCTTCGTTACCTTTCATCTAGATTTTCTACCCCTACCTGCCTTCTCATCTTTGCTTTTGGGCAAATGTTGCCTTTTGATCTTGTGTAGTTGATTGCTCTATGGAACACATTCCTCTCGGGTGTTATTGTTTACTTTATGGGCCTATCTGTTGTTTGGCTGAAAGATGGTCTCCAGGAGTGCTTCAGTTCCAGGTCAGAAGGGTGTGTTAGGGCCATAGTCTCAGGGGTTCCTCCAGTCTCAATGCCCCAGAATCTTTTAAAGCCGTTGCCGAGTTCTTCCCCAACTCACTGAAATAGAAGGAATAAGATTGTGGTTTTCAAAGAAAGACCAAGAACCAGGAGTGGAAATCATTCGGAGGAAATTTAAAAATAGTTTGTGGAAGAGGAGACTGGGGAAAGGATGCAGACAGGTACACAGAGCCTTCCAGGACAAAGTGTACTTCCTGCAGAGGTTTCTTTCTATAGTACTGAAACAGCAGTCCTCATTCTCAGGCAGATTAGATAGTGACCCTTTTGAGTGTTAAGTCTGTTTTGTGGCTAGAACAAGAGGAAGGTAGGCCTTGAATCTGCCTCCTTTACACAACTCTTATCTTTGGTTTCCATTTGAATGTGACAGCATTGTAACCTGGACTGCGAAGCTCCCACTCTTTTGACTGAATAGCAGCGGTCCCCAAGGATTTGGGAGAATGTTGCTATCAGAGTGGAGGCCCTGCCTTGGGTTTTCCAGTCTGCTCTGTGGTATGAATCTTTTAAATTGTAGGACAGATATTTACTGAAACAGGAAGCTGCTCACCTCATACATTTTTTTTTTTAATTGAGGTATAATTCACATAACATGAAATGAACTGTTTTTAAGTATACAGTTCAGTGGTATTTAGTACATTCAGTTTTGTGTTGTGCAGCCCCCATTTCTATCTAGTTAAAAAATATTTTTATCATCCCAAAAAGAAACCTTATACCCAATAAGCAATCACTCCTCATCCTCCCCACCCCTACATCAATCCCCTGGCAACCACTAATCTACTTTCTGTCTCTATGGATTTGCTTATTCTGGACATTTCCTATAAATAGAATCATACAATATATGACTTTTTGTGTCTGTCTTTCACTTAATATATAATGTTTTTGAGGTTCATTCGTACTGTGGCATGTACTGCATTCCTTTTCATGGTTCAATAACATTCCATTGTATGGATGTGCCATATTTTGTGTGTTCATCCACCAGTTGATGGACACGTGGGTTCCTTCTACCTTTTGGCTATTATGAATAGTGAGGCTATGAACATGCGTGTCTCTCATACGTTTTGGAAGAGTGTCTGTAGTCCTCAGCATAACATCCTACTCCTTAGTGTGACACTCGTTGTGAGGCCCCTTCTCTCCAGACTTTGTTTCATCTGTTCCAGACATATCCCTACTTATGGACTGTTGTTGTGTGCCATCAAGTCAATTCCGACTCATAGTGACCCTATAGGACGGAGTAGAACTGTCCCATAGTATTTCCAGGGCTGTAATCTTTACGCGAGCATATTGCCAGGTCTTTTCTCCCACAGAGCTACTGGTGGGTTTGAACTGCTGATCTTTCAGTTAGCAGCTGAGTGCTTAACCATTGCTCCACCACACAGAACTACTTATAGCTTCTGGAATATGATTAAATATGTTTTCCAGCCCCCGTGTCTTTGTACAGGCTGCGTCTTCAGCTTGGAATTCTTTCTTCCCTCCCTTCTTCACCTGACTGTCTCTTACTTGTCCTCCAAAACTCAGATGAAGTGTCACCTGTTTAGTGAAGACATCCCCAGCACGCTATAACTCACTTTTCAACCCATCCCCAGGCTGAATTAGGTAGGATCAGAGAAAAAAGTAGGGGCACATGTAGAGCAAGAGATGAGGAATGGGATGAGGGCCCAGGCACTGGTAAGCAGGCAGAGGAGTAGAGGACATGGTGAGGTAAGGCAAGGTGTTATTGTGAAGTGTGCTGTGGTGTCAGGTTCTTACTGGGGGTAGCTTTTCTGGCTTAAATGGGACAGGTGGGCTCTACATATTCCAAGGCGGCTGGTTCCTGAAGCTCTTCCTGCTTATTTCTGTCACAACTCTTACTGTGTTGTACATAGTCCATGAGTCTGTCTGTCTCCTCTGGTAAACTTGGAGCTCGTTAGGAGGGACCCCCTGTTGTCATTAGTCACTGAGTTCTCAGCCCAGCCAAGAGCCTGGAACACACAGCAGGTCGCTCCTGGTAAAATGAACAAGTCAAAACAAGATGTTAGTGCAGTGACCAAAGAGACTGGATTAAATTTCTAGACATTATTAAATTAAATATAATCCTAATCGAAACTAATTATTAAACAACTAGGATTTATTTATATTAAAATAAATATATGGCCTTTTGGCTGACCAAGAATGAAAAATTCTTGAAAACAAGTATACTTCCTAAGGAAAGCAGGCTCCTCCTTGTTTATTGGGCCTATTGATGGAATCATTTTTTAAACAGCTTTATTGAGGTATAATCCACATACTATATAATTTACCCATTTAAAGTGTACAATTCAGTGATATTTAGTGTATTGACAAAGTTGTACAACCATCACCAATAAGAATCCCAGACCCATTAGCAGTCACTCCCCATCCCCGCCACATCCCCAGCCCCAGGCAACCACTACTCCATCTTCTTAGACAGTCTTAAGTACTCTGAGCGTTGGGCCCCACTTCTCACCCCACTGGATGTCAGGTTTGAACATCTGTGTTAATGAGAACATTTTTCCAGGCAACAGATGAGAGGGAGGAAGGGACAGGCACAAGGGGGTAGAGAGGCAGCAGATATAGATGAAATTGAGACTTGGAAGATCCTTAGAAGAAAAGAAAGTGGAAGATGCTGAGAGAGAAATAGGCAGGGAGGGATAAACCCAAAAGTATCCCTTAGAAAAATTTGTAGGGTTTGTTTCTTTCAACGGAAACAATGGCGTAATGGAAATTAGATGGAGTCAGGGACATTATTGGAATGAATGTTCCCATTGATTACACAAGTTGCTTGCTGACAAGTGGCAGCAGAAATGTTGCTGGGCGATCCGTCTCAAATTCTCCCTGACATTGTAAAAGAAAGTGATGTGCATCATCCAAGAGCCCCCCTTTGTCCTCCTTTATTATGTGTTTGAGGTAAGTGATCTGCCTGATGGATTTTAAATCTCCTAATTTGATAGGCTCCTGAGCATGTCAGAATGTCTGCTGGGTATAAATATCTGATTTAAATGCAGGTTTCCATCCTTTTCTATTATGTTCAACAAAAATAAAGTAGGTCCATTTGGATGACTTTTCTTCCCTCTGATGGATGAAGCAGAGCACTAAGGGTTTCTTTGGTAAACAGAATGTTGTTGTTGTTAGTGGCCGTCAAGTTGTTTCCAACTCATGGCGACTCCATGTGTGCAGAGTAGAACTGCTCCATAGGATTTTCAAGGCTGTGACCTTTCAGAAGCAGATCACCAGGGCTTACTTCTGATGTACCTCTGGACGGGTTTGAGCCAGCAGCCTTTCCCAGTTGGTAATCCAGTGCATAACCATTTGGGACACCCAGGATACCATAAGCAGAATAGTGGTGGCTCCCAAAGATGTCCACATTCTAATCCCCAGAACCTGTGAAGATGTTACCTTACGTGGCGAAAGAGACTTTGCAGATGTGACTAAATTAATGATTTTGCAATGGAGAAATTATCCTGGATTATTTGGTTGGGCCCAATGTAATCACAAAGATCCTTAGAAGAGGAAGGGAAGGAGGGTCAGAATCAGAGAAGGAAATATAATGATGGAAGCAGAGATTGGAGTGATGTGGGGGCACAAGCCAAGGAACACGGGTAGCCTCTAAACCCATTGCTGTCGAGTTGATTCCAACTCGTAGCAACCCTATAGGACAGAGTAGAACTGCCCCGTAGAGTTTCCCAGGAGCGCCTGTTGGATTCAAACTGCTGACCTTTTGGTTAGCAGCCGTAGCTCTTAACCACTATGCCACCAGGGTTTCCTTGGTGGCCTCTAGAAGCTGGAAAAGGCAAGGAAATGCATTCTTCTCTAGAGCCTCCAGAAGGAATCAGCTCTGCTTATTCGTTTTATTCTTCTTATATTTAGAACTGTAAGATCATACGTTTGTATTGTTTTAAGGCACTCAGTTTGTGGTGCTTTGTTACAGCAGCAACTGGGAACTAATACAGACTTCTACCTTAAGTTTGAGTTTTACTTTGAGACCATGGATTTTTATATTATAATAATAGCGTGCAGTTATTGTGTGTTAACCATGTGCCAGGGACTGTGCCAGGTGCTGAACAGACCTCAGTCCTCCCAGCAGCCCTGCAAGGTATGCACCATCGTTATCCTTATTTTGTAGATGAAGAACTAAAGCTTAGAGCAGTCTCTCTCAATCAGGGGTGATTTTCCCCCTCAAAAGACATTTGACAGTGTCCGGAAAAATTTTGATCGTCACAACTGGTGGGGACAGCTTCTGGTATCTAGTGGGTGGAGGCCAGGGATGCCACTAAACGCCCTTCAATGCCCAGGACAGCTCCCGACAACAGGGGATTATCCAGCCCCAAATGTCAGCAGTGCTGAAGTTGAGAACTGCCAGATTAAATGTCCTGGACCATGTGGCTGGTGAGCTGCCGAGCCAGAACTCGAATCCTTGATCCCTGAACTTGTGTTTGAAACCAGTAGTTCTGTCACTGCTGCGACCAAGTATTTTAAGAGCATGCAGTACAGAGCAGTGAGGAATCCTGGAAAACAATGTGGTGGAGAAACGGTGGGCAGGGAAGAGCAAGCATTTCCACGCTTGGTGAATGCGGTGGAGCTGCTGTGCCCAGGCCTCTTGGAGGAGGGTGGAGAGTGGGTGGGGCCATGCATGAGTCAAGGGTCAAGTAACTGCAGGTCAGGAAGAAATACCATTTAGAGGAGCAAGTGCCAGGAAGGCATTCTGAGGCCGTGAGTTGGGACTGAGATTTCACGTCGGGAGCAGGTTCAAAGTGGAGCAGGAGTGGGTGGAGAAGAGACGGTCCAGGATGAAGAACTGTGGGTGACCCCAGAGTGCCAGGGCCAGTTCTCACTGGCTTTGGGTTAAAGGGACACGCTCATCTGGACACAGCCCGAGTTAGTCCCAGTTGGACGTATGCATGATTGGGACGTCATTCGAAGATTCTGATCTGTGTACGTGTGTCCAAGGGCCTACAGGTCAGTTCGTGCCTGTGAGGGACTGTGTATGCCCCTTGTGTCTTGGTGAAGGGCTGTGATGACATTCCCCATACCATACACACTGATCACTTCTGGAAGGTTTTGACACAGCACAACTTTTGGTTTTGCTAATTCAGAGCTTCTAGACAGGCAGGGAAACTGCTGATGGCTGTGGAAAGACCGGAAACGCTGATTCTCACCCAGGATTCAGTGTGGGGCAGATGGGGTTAGCATATATCTGATGTGGGTTCTGTGTAAGAGGCACAGATGAGGATCCCTGCTTGCAGCTCTGCTTTGTCCGTAGGTCATACGCACCGATGGGAAAAGTGAGGCACCTAGCTATTACTTTTGCTTTTTTATAGATGAAGAAACTGAGGCTCAGAGAGTTTTAGTAACTTGCCTGTATTTCTCATACAGCTGATGAGTATCAGAACCTGGATTTTGTCCCAGGCTCTTCCCACTACACCCAAAGAATGTTCCGGGGGAGAATACTGGGCCATGCTGTAACAGCATCCTGTGTGATTTCGGGCAGTTCACTTAGTTTCTCAGACACCTCAGTGTTTTTATCTGTAAAATAGGAATCCTAATATACCCTTCCTGCACAGATAGGTGGAATGAAGTTAAACAATTTTTGTGAAAATTATTTGGAAAATATTATGTGTTATATAGAGGCAAGGAGTTAATATTATCTAGATTGGATTCACCAGAAAGTCTTCACATAAAAAAAGAGATGGCTTGGCAAAGAGTCTTGAATGAATTGACAAAATATTTATAGAAATCGTCACCCTGGCTTAGAGTGCTTAGTCTTCACTCACTTGAGATAGTGAATAACGTTCTGATATAGGTATATTCCCTGTATGAGCAATTATACCTGGCTGGAAGCCATTCCCCAAAGGAGGACAGCAAGAGATTCTGAATTATTTTAAGTTGAAAGTGGGGAGGAAGATAAGTTTTATGTTCTTCTACTCATGCTTCTGGGCATTCGTAACTGGTATGTTAGCATTTGATCGCAATCACACCACGTGCTGTTTTCGTCTGTTAACTTTCTGTGGTTTCTGTCATCTTGGTAATAGAGAAAGGAGGATGGGAGAAAAGAGCGGGCGGGAAGTTGCATAGGTGAGCAGTAAAATGACACCAGGAAGAAAAAGTCAGATAAGATGAAGAGCATTGAGTAAGAACCTAGACACGTCTTCATCAAAATTGATTTTCTACTGGACAGGTCTCTACTCTGCTTTAATGTTGTGTTTATAAATCTACATGAGACGTGGAAAACACATAGTGTCCACTCAGAATAGACCACATCCAGCACCATGGAAGACATCACTAATCAATCATTGCAGCCCAGCACTCCAGGAAGCCACGACCAGTCAATGAAACCTATTTGTCGTCTCTGAGCTAGACAGTAAGCCTAGAACATATATTTTACTGCATTAATTAACTTACTTAATTCAAAGGCTTTTTGACCTGCTGTTTATACCCAGCTTAAGCCGCTCGTTGACTATTTTAGTATCCCCGGGGTTTTTTTGCAAGCTCACACCACCAGCTACTGAACATTCGTTGGGTACCAGGCAGTCTACATTCAGTTTCACAAGTGTTCATTTTCTAGGTGAGAAAAGCTCATCTGAATAAGAGTTCAATCTAAGAAAGAGTTCCTTTGCTTACAAAGAGTTTGAAAACTCCTGCTTTCCTATTTCTGAGATGAGTGAGGCATAGTGTTGCATTTGCTCACCAGTGTTCATTGCTAGGTGGTATAGATTTTAGATGATCTGGGGAATACAAAAGAAGTTATTACCCTCAAGAAACGTATTCAGGGTGTAGGCAAGACAAGCACCCATGATCTAGTTAAGGGGGTGGAAAACATGTGTATTTGTGAAAGAGAGTGAGACGGGGTCTTAGTTACCTAGGGCTTCCATAACCAAAAAAAAAAAATAAAAAAAAAAAAAAACCACAAGTGGGTGGCTTGAAAGAACTGAAGTTTATGTTCTCACAGTTTGGGATACTAGAAGTTTGAATTCAGTATGTGGCTCAAGG